ACTCCAATGTTGCAGTTTTCTGGGCACACACAGTTGGGTACACAGAAGTGAGCAACTCTTGGGGCACCCTGATATTCCCATACCCCACCTCCCAGCCTGCAAATTATTTCAGCTCCAACCCAGGCTCCCCGTAGCCCATGGATTGCCCCACGTGGGGTCCAGCTGGAGAAATCCAAATGGGGTTATGGAGATGGAGAGACTCCAATGATACTCCATGGGGTATAAGCAGGGACAAGCAGCATAGGGCTCACTTGCCTTTTGGGTTTGGGGTTCATGGAGAGATGCTACCAGGCAGGATTGCTGGGGATGGGTGCTCAGAGCTTTTGGGGGCAGGTAGGAGCTGATGGGCCGTGAGCTCATCCCCACAGCACTGCCAAGGGCGTCTCTGTGTCCTCCCCCGCACAGCCCTTATCTGATTAGGGACCGGGGGAGGCCTGAAAGCCTCCAGAAAATTGAACTGCCTGAGCTGAGCCAACGAGGGGGCTACTGGGAAAGCAGAGCAAATGGGCTTTTCTCCTCCTCTTAAGTGCTTTTTGCTGTCTGTCTTTCCTACTTGGCCAGAGAGGCAGGGAAGGAGGGAGGGAGAGTGGTGGAAATGCCGGCTGTGACAGGTTGGTGTCCCCATGCTGGAGTGCAGGGACGTGTCCACCTGTCCCATCCTCATGACCATGCACCCTCCAGCACTCTGCACCAGGACCACATCTATGGACAATATAGGGAATGGAGCTGGAAAAGAAGGGATGCTGAAGGTAGTTTCTATAATACACGGGTGTATGGGTGGTGAAGGGGTGTGCGGTGGTTCCCCAGAAGCAGGTCCCGCTGGGGGCTGAAGACACCCATCTTGAATCCTCCAGCCTGCTCAAATCTGGAAATAAATCACTGAAAGATCTAGAAACAGGTGGTTGCAAGGTCTAGAAATAAATGGTAGTGAGTTTTGAGCCATTTGGAGATGATGAATGGCTTCTATTTGGCCCAGAGAGAGAGAACACATTCACAGGGGCTATAGAAACATCTCCTGAGCATCACATCCACCTGGGCACTGTGGCCTGGGGCCAAAGGATGAGGCTTTGGTGTTCAGCAGGTCAGGATGCAGCTATCACTAAAATCTAGATGCAAAACTTCCTTTTGCTTAAGGCAGAATGTGTTGCCTTTGATTTTCCGGCATCTGCTGATTCTTATCATTCATTGAAGATTTGTTATTTGATTTAGGTGAGGCGAATCCCATTTCCCTCTCCAAAACGACAACAAAACGACCCCAGACACAGACTGGTCCTCAACCAGAGATGCGTCCCCATCCTCAGCATCACCCCGCACTGCACTCATCGGGGGGGAGCCGCTTTGTAACTCAACTTTGTATACTCCAAATACTCCCCCGAACCTGCATGGGGGTGTTGGTTGTCTTTAGGGGAAAGAAAACAACTGAAAAAGCAAACAGCAAGGAAAAAAAAAGAAATGCTATTGCTGTCCTTCCCGGCTGCCAAGATAACCACCCCCTCCTCTGTCGCTGCCGTAATTAGGTGCGTGAATCCCCGGTGCTGGGGAAATGCGGCAGTCAGGGGTTTTCTGTGCAGATGCTGAGCTGCCTGTATGGATAAATGGCATTGAACCATATGCTGGTGGCTTGCCCGTGCTGAAATTGCCCCACTGAGTAATGATTTTTGGAAGGGAAGGGGAATAAATCAGTGCTGGCCTATTGAGATGATGCCTTTTGCAGCAGTTGCTCCGTGGGGTTTTCAGCTCGTGGGGCTGTTTCGTTCCCCCACGTGGAGCCCCAGCAACATTGGTAATGCTGACTTGTTACATCAGATAAAATATTAAAGGCCTATGATATAGTCCAAAATTAATATTTTAATAGAATGTAAAAGTTGAGGCAAAGACGAATCCAAACAGTAAAACTGAAATGAAACATTTTTATCTCACCAGACCGAAATGGCTTGGTGCTACCGCTTTGATTCGCCCTTCCACTACATTTGTAAGCTATTAAAATATTCATTTTAATATTATAAATATTGCATTTGATACCTAATGCATTGTTATGACGTTTGGGGTGCCTGAAGCCAAATCAATGGGTTGGCCATGGGGCTCCTGACCTCCTGAGATGGGTGGTGTTTGTGTCTGTGACCCGAGGGGAGGCTCAGGTTGGAGATTGGGAACAATTTATTCTCCCAAAGAGAGGCGCTGCGGGGTCACAGACTGCACAGAGAGCGGTGGGGTCACCATCCCTGCAGGTGTTCCAGAACCATGGAGATGTGGCACTGATGGATGTGGTCAGTGGGCATGGTGGGGTGGGCTGGGGTTGGACTTAGGGATCTGAGAGGCCTTTTCTGACCTGAACAATTCACTGATTCCGTGCGATGCCATCCTCCAACAGGCTCCTTCCCCACTCCCCAACCCTTCATGGATGAAGCCTGGAGGAACCTCATACCCTCTGCTTAATTCGGGTGAGATCACAGTACCACAGAACGACCAAGGTTGGAAAAGACCTCTAAGATCAGCCATCAACCCTTCACCACCATCTTTTTTCCAACCTTGATAGTTCTGCTGTGATTCTCTGCCCACTAAACCATAGAATCATCGAGGCTGGAGAAGACCTGCAAGATCACCAAGTCAAGGCTCACCAGGACATGGGATGACGAGCAGGACAGAACCATGGGCACATGCCAGGAACCACTGCAGTGACAACAACCCCCTGAGGAAAGCAGCTGGACAACGAGTTACAATAAAAGGATTTCTTTTTTCCCTTTAGAAATAATAACATAAAATGAATTTATGGCAATTACGGGATTTCTATATTTATGTCGTTATCAGAACTATATAAGGAAAGCTGGATGATATAAATGTATTTCGGGAGCTGCGACGAAGGGGAGGGAATTGATATATATTTTTAATCATGTTCCAGGCTCATCCATTCCACACCCGTGCAGAATTAGTTATGGGGTTACGGCCACTTTGCAGCTTCTTTGGGGTGAGGAACTTCCCTGCATTAATCCTTATTGTGAATCTTTGGTAAATGGGAGGGTATCATCTTCCTGGGGTCCCCGCTGCACTTGTTTTACTCTCCTACTTTTCTGTTTGTGGGCACTGTATCAGATTTGGAGGCTCTTTAGGGTCAGATTATGGACACCCCACAGTGTCCCCCAGGCGCACACCCCTGCTCTGACTCCTTTGCTTTTCTCTCACAGCCCCCAAAAGGAGGGTGGGCTGCCAACCCTGTGCCACTGCTGACCCCGTGCAACACCTCTGCCTCTCCCACAGGGATTAGGGCCAGATTAATGTCGGGCAGCCACTGTTATCCCAGCGATTAGTGCTGCCCCAGGATTATCAGCAGGTGAAACGCCGATGGGGATTAAGAGGAAGAGCTGGGCTGTCCCGAGTGGGTGCTTTCAGAAATGCATTTGTTTGGGGTTTGCTACTGATGGGTTTGGGATTGGGAGCACTGTCCTTTGTCTGGAAAGCACTGGGGATGCGATGTCCATTGACCTGATGCATCCTTAAGTCTGAAGCAGGGGATCGCAGCTGCCTGCTCCTGCACACTTTGCCCCTTGTTCCCATTCCATTCTGGGGAGAGGAAACTGAGGTTGTGCCCCACCAACCCGTGCCGGGCAAGGAGGGATGAATCACGGCTGTGCCACCGCTTCCCTTCTCCATCCCCGGGGAGACCACAGCCCGTGAGTCAGCCCTCCCCTCCCCAAAGCAATTGGGAGATTGGGTTATAAATCACAGGATTTGTATGAAAACAAGTGGTGCGGCGAGGCCGGATCGCTGGCTGTGCTCTGAGGATGCTGAAGATGCTCTGCCCTCCTGGCGTGGTCTGGGTGGTGGGTTTGGGGGCAGAGCTCACCTCCCATGGCCCCAGCCAGGGATATCTGCATATTATCCTTCAAGAAAGCCCCTCTCAGAGCACCCAAAGGTGTGGGGGCTGCCCCAGGACCATCCTCCCCCCACAGTGCCACTGACCAATGTGACTATTAGGCCCTTTGCAGGGGCATTTTTGGCTTCTGTCACCACTCAAGGTCAACCCCATTAATTGCTGTGAATTATTTTGGCATTAATGGAGATGTCTTACGCACTTCCACTATAAATGAGGCTTCCAGGATGAGCACGCCAGCCAATATTTCCTGGTGGAGGGAGATGGGGAAATATATGGTGGTGGAGGAGGAAGGATGGGAGCATATGGGGGGGAGGTGGGAAATGTGAGGGAGGGGACATGGGAGGCATGTGGGGGGTCACAGCATGGGGGTGTGACAGTGGGAGTGGTGTGTGGTCTGTGCAGCTCCAGCCCTACACCAGTGCCAATGGGATGGAGAAGGAGAGAAGGAGTGGGAGATGGTGGGGTTTCCACACTGCAAACTCAGCACCACCTCCTGCAGATGCACTGGGATCTGGGAATGGGGTGGGGAGATGGGGTGTGGGGATGGAGGAGCTGCTCCCAGCCCTCATTTTGGGGTCCCTGAACATTCTAGTTGGCACTGTGCATTCCTTGGGCATGTTCCCCCAAGCTCCATTTTCCCCACTGGCATGAGGGAAATCCCTGCCCAAGCTGTGCTGCCAGCATCTCCGAATCCTTTGGAAACTGCTCCCAGTGCACGAGGCAGAAGGGACCGGGGGAAGCTGCAGGGATCCTTCAGCCATGGGGGGCACTGGGAGGGGGGGTCCGCAGTCAACCCCAGTGGCTCCTCTTCAGCCATGGGGAGATGGGATGCCCTCACTCCCCTAGACAGCAGAGAAAGGATGGCAGGGAGGGCTCTGCAGCCCCCCCGCTGCACACGGGAGGGAGGAGGATCGGCTGGGAGGCTGTTCGCTAAGCGGGGTTGGGGGATCGGGGGCTGCATCACATCGCATCGCATCGCATCGCACCGCAGCGCAGCGCAGCGCAGCCCAGCGCAGCACAACACAGCAGCAGGAGCGGGACTCCGCTCTGCTCCCACCCCCTCACCCAAGGAGGGGGAGGAGGAAGAGGAGGAGGAGGAGGAGGAGGAAGGCACCTCCCCCCGCTGGCACCCACCGGAGCCCGATGCGGCTCCGGCCGAGCGGCCACGGGGGCCGGGAGGGGGGAGAAGTGCAGAGCCCCCCCAAACTGCTGCACGACTCCCGCTCCCCTCTGTATTATTTTTCTTTACGAGCGGGGCACTCCTTCCTCTTTAACCCGGAGGGGGGGTGGGGGACAGCGGGGACCCCCCCATCTGCACGCCCATGGCCGGGTCTCCCCGCTCCCAGCCCCGACCCCCCCGGCTCCGCTCCCCCCAAACTTTGCCTTCGGATGCGGGGACTCCGCCACCGCTGATTAATTGATTGCATCTGCCTCGGATTAATTATTCACCCTCTTGTTTTTCAGTATTTTTCTTCTTCTTCTTTTTTTAAAATTATCCTTATTATCGTCTTTTTTTTTTTTTTTCTTTTTTTTTTCCCCATCTTGTTTTACTCGCGGTGGGAACGCTTTAATTCCGATTTTCTTTTCGGAAGGCTGAGATTTGGACATCTTATCTATCTATATTATTTTATTGTGCACTGGGGGGGCCGGCGGCTCGCGAGCCCTGCAGCATCATCCTTCACCGGCACAGCTTTGATTTGCTTTGATTTTTTCTCCGGGGGTGGGGGGTCCACGTGCTCTTCTCCCCCCTGGATCCTGAAGAGGAAGAGGAGGAAGAAGAGGAGGAAGAAGGGGGGGGGACGACCCACCCCCGGCTCGGAGCCCCCCGCAGGCGCTGGGGGGGCTGCGGCAGACAGGGGTGGGGGGGCCGGGGCTGGGGTGCTCCGTGCTCTGAGCTGAGGGGGGGGACGCCGAGTACCCCCCTTTTCCCCCCCCCACCCCCAATCCCACCCTTGGCTGCTGCCGCCGGTTCGCACGTGGTTGGATTTAGGGGATTTCTGCGGGTTTTTTGGTGCTGGCTTTGGATTTTTTAATTATTATTATTTTTTAAGCGGGTGGGGGGGGGGTTAGAAGGGGGGTTCAGGGCCTGGCTGCCCCCCGCCCTCCTATCGCTGTTCCCCCCCCCCCCCGCCCCCACCCCAACACCTCAACATGGGCTCTCTGGAGAAGATGCTGTCCGGGCCGGCCGCTCTGCTCTGCTGCCTCTGTTCGCTGCTGCTGCTCGGTGAGTGTTGCCGGCGCGGTGGGGAGTTGGGGGGATCACCAGTCTGTGTGTCTGTTCGTGTGTCTGCATCCCTGAGAGGGGGGGGGTTCTCCCCTCTCTGCCCCCCCATTCCAGGAGTCGCTGCCCCTCTGTGCCCCCTGCATTCCGCAGCCCCCACCTTTCCTACACCCTGTGCCCCCCACCTCCACCCCCCCCCCCCCCCCCCCCCCTCCGCGAGGAAATGGGTGAAGATTAAGACTTTATTCCCGGCTTAATAAAATGACAGATTGCTTCTGAGCGCTGCTAATGGGCTGTTTGCTGCGGGGGGGAGGATGGGGGGGGGGGGGTTGGGAAGGGGGCAAAGGGGATACATCTCCCAGCCCCCACCATCCTCCCCTATCCATTACATCCCTGATGCAGAGCGGGGTGCTCCCTCCCCCCCCCTGCACCAAGTTGGGTGCTGAGAGTCACTGCTGTACCATCATATAGGGTGGGGGTACAGTGATGGGGTGCAGCCTCCTCTCTCCCTCTGATTCGTGCATTTCAGGATGGGGGTTCCCAGCTGCTTCCTTTGTGGGGGGGAGGCACAGCCTGTTCTCACTTTCCCTGAGTTGCATTCAAATCACAGCCCTTACCCCATGCTTTGCCTGCTAGTGACATCCTGGCCTGCCCGGGTGACAGCCCTGGGGATAGGGGAACCTGCTTCTGGGGGCTGAGGGTGGGGGGTGGGGAATGGGACTTTATTAGGGTGTGGCTCTTTTGGGGTGGTTTTCCTGTAGAATCAACTCCTGCAAATGCACCAGGTATAGCTGCAGAAAGCAGGGAGCTGCTGGAAATCGGGGGTGCCACGTATAGCCCGTTTTGTGGACACTGGGTGTCCCTAAAGGATGCACTGCTGCAGCCTTGGGGTGTCTGGATCGTGTCCCAGCATCCCATGGACAGAGCACTCCTGGGCTTTTCTGAGCATCTGCAGCCCCTGAGGCTCCTGGGGAGCAAAAATAATAATTAGGAAGGGGGGACACTGAGAGTGCTGCAGGGAGCAGGCAGAGATTATTTTTTTCCTTCAGCCCCTCCAAAGGTTCCTGGAGCGGCTCCGGCAGCACAGCTTTGCCTTGCTGACCCCACAACTTCACCCAGAGCCTTTGGGTGTTGCTCCCCCCCCGCACCCCAAAAGCAGGGTTTAGCAAAAGCTGCTTTAGGGGGAACAACAGGTACGGGTTGGGCAGGCAGCAGGAAAACGTGCTGGTCCTTCCTCTTGCCTTTATGAGATGCAGACGTCTGGGTCTGGCTTCCCCACGGCACCACAGGCGGCTGTCAGCCCCGCTGCCAGAGGAATGCTCTGTGATGGGAAATCTCCTAGGCTCATGTTTCCCGTGCCCACACGATGCAACTCCTTCTTCCCATTCCCTGCTGGGGGTCCCTGAGCCCCCTGTTGTTCCTCAGACCAGCGCGGTGGGCACACATAACCCCTCAGTGATCCTAAGGGACCAAGGGGACCCCAAGCCAGGACTGCCGTTTAGGGTGCTGGAATCCCTGCAAGGCACCAGCCAACTGTTAGGGCTCATTTCGTGGCCTTTCCTGGACAAATAAAGGTCTTGTGGGGAGCCAGGAAGTGTCTGACGGCTCCTCGTTCCCCCAGCCTTCCTTGTGGGATGCTTGGGATGGCCACTGGAGTCAGTGCACGGCCACGCAGTGCCCTTCTCTCTTGGTGAAGGATTTATTTTTTATTCCCTTTACAATGATTATTTCTTGTTATTTTTAATACCTCAGTGGTAGCTTCACCCCTTTGGCGCTCCCTTCCGTTTCGGGAGCCCTGCTTGACCATCCTCCCCCAACCAGCAGCTGCCAGAATGGGGATTTTGGCATCCCACATCCCAGATTGGGGCGGCCCCGGGGCTGCATGAGGGTTTTCCAGAGGGACGGAGCCGGCAGCTCAAAGCCAGAGGAGCCCTTTGGGGTTGCAGCACGACAGGGGTTCACCTGGCGTTGTGCTTGTGTTGGGGCTATGGGTTTGGGTTTGGATTCCATGTGCTCTCCCTGCTGCTCACCCAGCCCCATCCCCGCTGTGTGCCTCAGTTTCTCCTCTCGCTGGGCGGTGGGCATGGAGATGTGGTGTTATTCAGTGGGGGGAGCGTGTGCCTCCATCCCATTGGCAATAGGGTTGGGGCCGTGCTGATCTCCCTGCATCTCCTACCCCATAACTCCCAATGTGACCAAATCCCATGCGTGGGCTGATGGTGGAGGATGTGCCCCAACCCCAGGAGGGCACACACTGCCTCCCGTCCCCGTGTGGGCTCGGAGCATCCCCATCTTCAGGATATTTCAGGCCAGCAGGTGGAGATATGCCATAACTCGCTGTCGAAATGGGGAAAACGCAGCCGGCGTTTGCTCACCGAATGGGTCCTGGGTGCAATCCCTGAGCACACCCAGCACAGCCCAGAGCAGGCAGAGAACAGCAGGATCACGGTGCCCCTGTTCGTTGGAGGGATCTGGCCCCCGAGCGGAGCTGAACCAGGTAGAAACCAGTCACCCCAGGCCCAACCTCAGGCTTTGGTTCCAGGCTGCCCTTGCGTGACCCCAGCTGCTCCTTATCACCTTTTCTTCCCCTTGAATTTGGGTTTGAACTGTTGCCTGCTGTTTGACAGCCCAGCAACAAGTGGGGCCTTTTTATCTGGGTATGGGAGCAGTGTGCTTACAGATGCTCCAGGTGCCTTAATACTGTGCATCGGTCTGTGTGCATGTGCCTGGTTGCCCAAATGATTTGGGACTTAAGTTCTACACAACAGAGGCAGGGCATGGGGCAGCAGCAATTCCACAGCTGGGCGTTGCTCAGTGCTTCTAGAAACCTGGCTCTGTGGTTCAGTTCAGTGATTTAATTCTCCAGCTGCTGGAGTCCCTTTTCTCCCATCCTCTGCCTAAAAAAACCCAACCCCTCTCCAGCAGAGCATCTCCTGACATTTGAATGGGCACAGAGCAGCCACCTGCCTGTCCCCTCCCTCATGACTATGAAACATGGCCTTGTCCTGGGTAATACAGTGAGATGGAAGAGGGTTTGGTGTGACACAACCTGAATTTTGGCTCCTGCAAGAGCATCACCCCAAAGGAGTGGCAGGAGGAACCAATGTGCTCCCCTTCCATCCAGTGCTCATCACGGCTGCTGCACGAGCATCCCATCCCATCCGTCTGGAAAAGGTCACTCTCTCTAATCTAATTGGCATCCTCTATTATTAAATACAAGGCTTTGCTAACGAGCTGCCCCCTGGGATGGAGGAGGCGGTGGTTTCTTCCATGGGGGACCACGCGGCGCCAGGGCTGGGTGCCTTTGGGACTGGTGTGCAGCAAGGAGCACAGTGCCAGTAGGGCACTGCTGGGGGAGGAGGCAGCTCCTGGAGCTTCCTGCCATAGGAAGAGCTGCTTGAGCTTCACTTTCCCTGTGAACTGGGGTCCTCCAGCCAAATTCTGTGGTGGCCCAGGATGTGCGCTGCTAGGAGAGGCACAAACCCAAGTGTGGGGATTTGTTGGCTGTTGCCTCTCCCCCAAAAGACCCTGGTATAGATGCTCTCGCTGTGCCCTGCTTTCCCAGGCCGCTGCCCCACTTGTTGCTGCCCGGGTCGATAACCCACGTCTCGCTGTGCTCCGTCCCAGGAGGATGCTGCAATCACAGCAGTTTGCTTTTCCACCCTGATGAAGCCACCGTCTCCCGCTGGGCAGCGTTTTCCCTTTGCTGTTGTGCAATATTTGCCGTGCTTGCTTTTTTAATCCCTCTGCCTGAGATCTCAGGTGCTTTTGCATCCCAGTCCTGCGAAGTTACTGAAGCAGGTTCTGCTCTGTCCCTTGCAGGACCGACAAAAGTTCAGCATTTGGGATAGTCCCTCTGCTCTCCAGATTTCTTTTTCGTGCTGGACCTCATCCCTCTTGCAGTTTGTGCCCCATCCCCCTGCCGTGCTGCATTCTGCAGCTCCTGGGTGTTCCTGTGGGTTCAGTCAGTCCCTCATCCCTTTTCTTTTTTGTATTTTTTTTCCCCACCGCCTTTTAATTCATTTCTTCATTTTTCCTCCTCCTCCTCCGCAAAGGCCCTCTCCTTCCCGGCCCCCAACCTGTCCCCTGGTGTGATTTGTGGAAATTGCTCTAAAGTAGCTGCTGCGTAAAAGCCTTGCCTGCTCCCAGGATTTATAGCAGGCTGTGCCTGTGCGCGCCACATCCCATTTAGGCCATATTTATTTATTCCTTTGGGTTTCTTCCCCCTTCCCTTTGATTAGTTTCCTGGGGGAAATGCAGGGCTCAGCACTGCAGCCTTGGGCACCTGGTGTCCGTCCTGCTGGTATTGCCTTGCGTTGCTTCTTGCCACTGTGCTGGGCTGAAGCTGAAGGGCTGCTGCACTGTCACCCACAGTGTTCTTACTGGGGGATGGAGTGGGAGGAGGATTTCCAAGGATGCCCCCAGGCAACAGCATCTCCATCCTGGAACCTTAAAAAAAAGGGAGAGTCAACAGGCACCCGCACAATCCTATATTAGACACTGAAGAATCCACTACTGCCACCTATAGGAAGACTCAATTCAGTTTTCCCATTCATTACCCGCTCAATCCCTCCCCTGGGCTGCATCAGATCACCCCTCTGGGATGAGTGCTGTGCTCCTTCTACCATGGGGCTTCTGAACCCCACCGCCACTGTGGGGCAGAGCTGGGGACCAGGATGGCCAAGGGATTTGTGTCCCCTGTCCCTGCAGCCTCCTGTTGGCCATCTCACTGCTGTGCGCCGGGGGAGGTGCCTGTACATTTGTAACAATTATTCACTTAATTGACTTCCAATTAGCTAACGCTGGAGATGGAAGCTCGCACCGCGCCGGGGATCTTGTTGTCTTTCATGTCGCCGAAAACAATTTCCAAGGCTCTGGCTGATGGGAAGCATTTTCTGAGTCCCTCATGAGAGCTGGGCTTCCCATTTCAGCTCCCATTTCATTGCTGGGAGGGTTTTCCCAATCTGTGCTGTGCTATGGTGCAAAACAGGGGGTCCTGCTGCCCTTTGCAGGGATGGGAATAGGGTGCTTGAGGCTGTGGCCAATTGTAGCCCTGCCAGGGCTGAATTGTTGAGGTTTGGATGGAGGTGGAAGCCTCCATTTGCCATTTTTATTGGTTTGGGTTTTTTTCTGTGCTGTTTGGAGGTGCACACCCTGCTTGGATAAAAGCATATTGTGATGGGGTCAGTGCTGTGATGTGAGGATGGAAAGGGGATGTCTGGTCCCAGGATGGATGAGGAGGTGGATGAGGTATCTTTCCAACCTTAATGATTCTATAGGTATGACACTCATTTGGGAGCTGGGTCCGCCTCTGATTGGAGCATCCAGATGTTGGGACATCCCTGGTGTTTGTTGCTCATGTGGATCCTTTGTGGTTGGCCCTTATGGCTATGGAGGCAAAGAGTGGACTGTGGGTGCTGACACCACCACAGACTTCGAGTCTGAGGGCTCCAAAGCTTGGGCTGGATGCTGCTGGCTTTGAGGTGGGACATCTGTGGTGGTGGCCTTTTGGTGGGACTGTCCTCTTGGATCCTTAGCAGTGAGCTGGAAGTGATAGCTGCACCATAGGGGCTGAGCTGCACAGGGTCTCAGGGCCCATCTTTGGGGTCTTTAACCACTAATTTAACCCCATCAGCCTTTTTGTCCCTCTGGGTGACCAGGAACTCCAAGAAATGCCAGCAGAGCTTCAAACCAGCACAAAGCCATCTGTGAGGAGCTTTGATCACAGTGTCAACCCAGTCATTGCATCATGGAGCTAGGCTGTGTTGGAACAGACTGGGCCACAGCCCCCAGCAACAGCCCTATTTTATTTTCCAGTGTTTTTTTTTTTATCTGCTTTTCCCCTGTTAAGTGGGGATATATGTGCCGGGAGCCCCCTGTCATATCCCACAGGATAAGCTGGGATCAAACTCCCCCCTGGAGTGTGGCTAAAGCGATCCCTATGGCAAACAGCTGGGGCTGGAGCTAAGCTGAAGCTCAGGGCAGAATATCAGTGCTGGATAAAGAGGAGGAGGAGGAGGAGGAGGAGGAGGAGGAGGAGGAGGAGGAGGAGAAGGCTCTTCAGCCCTGGGACAGTTGCTGGGAGCAGGGATGAAGGGGCTGAGGAGCCACAACCACATTCAGTCTGACCATCAGCCGTCCTTCCCATGTGTCCATCTGTCTGACCCCAGTAGCCTCCAGCAGTGATGATGTAGTTGGGTTATTCTATGGGGTTGGGGGATTCTTTCAGCACTGGAGACCCCCCAGAAGCAACGATCTCCCCTGGCCTGGGGGGCTCTTGTTGACTTCAGTGCATGGTCGTGGGTGCTGCCACATTTTGTCCTGCACTGCTGTCCCCATGTGCCCCCACTGCCAGCACAGTGGCCCATCTGGCTGCATGGCTGCAGTGGCGTGGGGCACATCTGGCCAGGCAGATGTGGCTGCACGAGGGGGAGTCATCACCAGTTGTGTGTTTCTGCCTCCCTCTCTGCCCTCTCTCCCTGCTGTGGCTCATAATCCACCCTGGTTTGCCACAGAGGGAGCTGGGAAGGATGTGGGTGTCCTCTCCTGCTATGGGGCTGGGAGGGGGGGGGGTGTCCTCAGTCCACGGGGCCCAGGCATCCCCTGAGCTGGTCGGAGCCTGCTTTTTGCTCGTGGTGCTGAGCTGCGAGGGTGGAAGAACCATATGGTCCTCCCCGTGCCAGCCTAATAAAATCAGGAATGCAGGTCAGGCACTGCAAATCCCGTTAACTGCAGCGGGCCAGTGCGGAGCAGTCAGTGGCCAGGGCTTAACCCATCAGTCTCCCTAAACTGAGCCAGGGGTTATGGCAGAAGAACCACGCTTCCTCCTGGGGGCTGCTGGGTTGGGGCAGTCTGCTTGGGCTGGGGTCCCCTGAGCTGCTGGGCTTTCCTTTCTTCCTCCCTCCCTTCTACCTATCTACCTTTCCTTCCATCCGCTCTTCCTTTCACCCTTCCTACTTTCCTTCCACCCTTTTTCCATCCTTTCCATCCATTTTCCATTCTTTCCCCTGGTCCCATTATCCCTCTCCACCCATGTCTGTCTTGACCCCAAGTCCTTCCTCACCCCACGCTTTATCCCCCTTTGATGCAGAGACTGTAGGAACTAAAGCTCTGGGCTGCTATTAGCCCTGGGCTGGACGTGACCCTGCCCTGTAGGATTAGTTTATGCCAAGGAATGGAGACACCCACCACGTCCCCCCTCTTAGTGATAGATTATAGCATCGTTTAAATGCATTTTGTCTGTGGAAGGAAATAGAATCTCAGGGTGCCAGCAGTCCTCCTGTGTTGCACTAATCATGACCACAGCATTAATCTGCAGCCCGGCTCATCCCCCATGCAGGGCTTGGTGCCGCACTGCTGTCCCATCAGTATTGTCACCCGTGCCCCTGGTGCTGGGGGGTGCCCTGAGGGGAGCAGGCCTTTGGGTGGATTTCCTTTGTGGAATGATTTAAGTATTCTCCAAACACCGGTGATTTTTAAGGGATAACAGTTACAGTTTCAGTGATTCAGCGTCAAGCTTCAGTGTTTTGTTTTGCCTGGCTCCCCATGCCTCATTCATTCTTGCAGGCATTTGTGTGGTTACCCCAATGCAACTCCGATTTGGGGATCTTTTCACAGCTCTGCTTTTCAGCAAACAGTCTCATGGCTTGGAAAAAAAAAGTGGGGAATAGCAGGAGCAGCTGTGGCTGCATAGGGCAGGGCTGTGCTGCAGCCGACGTGATGGCATCACCAGCAGTGCCACCGCTGTGTCCCCAGCATGGTGCCTGGTCCTGAGGATGAGAGGAGCTGCATCCTGGGTGACAGAGTTGCAGATGCCATTCGTGCCCCTATCAAGTGCTAATCCTGTTAAGAGCCTTCCTAAGCCCTTAACCCCTGCAGCAATTAGATCCAGGCTGTTACGGGGTCTCGCCTCACTGAGCCGTGTGCCGCAGGAACCAGCATGCCAATTGCCCCAGCATATTGGGACCAATGTCCCCTCTTCTGCATCACCAGGGGAAAGTGAGGCAGAGCTTCAGGCAGCAGCAATCCCACAGCTGTATGGGTGCAACCATTGATGCTCCAGCTGGTAGAACCCTGCCTGGGTATTCATGCTCCCTCCTGTTCCCTACGTAGAAAATAGGGGTAGGAGTGATAGATTTGGCAGCCCCCCAGAGCAATCCCCCATTGGAAGCCCCCATCCAGATGCTTTTCTGACTGCTGAGCTGTCACATCAGAGCCTTTCACCACCCGTAATTTGGGTGCCACTGGTGGAGGCTGGAGTCGCTGGGGAATGGCTGCAATCAGTGCCAGGGCTGCTTGCTGTGCGACGGGGAGCTGCAGGGAGGGGAAGCATCCTGGGAATTGCTGGCAGATGCAGATGAGAAGACCTTGAGATGTCTTCCTTGAGATGTCTGCAGTGAGGGGCTGCGGCACAAGGGCTGGTGGGTACTGAATGGGAGATGCAAATGCTGCTCAAGGAGCTGGGCTTAGTGCATCCAGCCAGCTGTGGCTTGGGGCAGGATCTGTCCCACAGGCTCCATCAGCATGTTGGCAAAGGGTTGTTGGAAATGAGGATTCAGCCTTTTGTGCCCTATTCCTGCACATCCTGACCCAAATTTAGGCAGGCCCTTGACATCCTGGATGCTCCATCTCACACCAAGGGTTGGAGAAGCACAAGAGATCACTGAGGTTCTGGGGTGGGTAACAGGAATGAAACTCATCTCAACTTTTGCTGCCCTTGCTGGATACTCTGGGGCTGCAGAACCTCATACTTGCTATGGGAGCTCGCAGTTGAATGTCCCACAGTAACCATCCTCTCCATCCCCTTCACAGCCCAGGCCAAGGGGCCAGTTCCCAGCCCTGAGCCATCTGAGCCCCCTGGTGCCACGATGCTGCCCGTGAGCTACCGCCTATCCAACACTCGCTTGGCCTTCTTCCTCAAGGAGGTGGGGGCCAGCCCCCCAGCCAACAGCAGCACCCCTCTGCAACGATCCGAGCCCTTCGTCGTCTTCCAGACCAAGGAGCTGCCCGTGCTCAATGTCACCCTGGGACCCTTTAGCACAGGGTTGGTGCTGCCCAAGGAGCACCTGCAGCCTTCCAGCACCCTGGAAGTCCCCAACCGCCTCACAGTCAACTGGAAGGTGCGCGCCTTCATCATCCAACCCCGGTTGGTGGCCAACCAGCCCGTGGTCCAAGTGCTCTTCTATGTGGCCGGTCGGGATTGGGATGATTTCGATGTCACTGATCGGTTGCCCTGCGTCAGGCTTCACGCCTTCCGCGATGCCCGCGAGATCAAGAGTTCGTGCAGGCTGCGGGGCAGCCTGGCCACCTGCCTGGTGCAGGCTGAGCTGCCTCACGCCTGGTTCCGGCCCGCCGCTGTGCCACTGGGCCGCAGGAAGGGCCCTGATGGCATGGAGGTGCCAGGTGAGAGCCAACAAGTCGAGCTCTACTACACTCTTCACGCCCCCGATGGGGCCGGACAGTGCCTTGGGGACACATCGGCATCATCCCCTCGTCGAGGGAGTGGAGGGGCAAGGACTGAGGGTCCCACACAGCACCCGCTGTTGCGCATCGGTAGTGTCAGCCTTCTGCAGCCTCCCCCTGCACAGCCCATGCAGGAGCATCGGTTGGATGGCAATGTCTTCATCCGCCTGCCTGACCGGCCTCTGAAGCCGGGTGAGGTGCTGAGCATCCTGCTCTACCTGATGTCCAACTCCACGGTGGAGCACTTCACCCTCAGGTAGAGTCCTGATCCCATGACCCATGTCCGTTGGCAAGGATTGGTTGTTTTGGCTGGGTTGGGTGGAGCAGTGACATCTTCACTATGGATGATGTCTCTGAGATTCAAGAGGAATTGGGGGTGAAAAGTCCCTCTGTACACATGGCAGAGGGGTGAAGATATCTGGGGGTGTGCAGGGGTATGGGATCCTACCCTGATCATGGCTCTCTGCAGGGTGAAGGCCAAGAAAGGCGTCAACCTGCTCAGCACCAAGTCGAGGAGTGGGCAGTGGCTGGTGAGCTCAGAGCTGCTGACAGGTGGCAAACACTCCACGGCCACCGTTGACGTGGCCAAGGTGGAGGGCACCGGCCCCAGGTAACTATAAACCCATCCCCACCATACCCATACTTGTATAATCAATGAATGTACAGATGTTATAATTATGAAATATACCAGTTTGGCTAAGCAGTTATTATACCAAAACAGAATAGATAGAATGCTTCCCATATCCTGGGCTCACTATGAAACTCCAGAGGAGGGGATCTCCAGAAGAGACCCTTCCCTACTGGTAGTCAGCTCTTAAATGGATTTAGGAGAGGTGGAGACAGGCTGCCCTCCTTCCGGCAGCATAGGTGAATTGCCTTCAACTGTGCTCCCATGGCTGGCTCATTGCTCGCCTCAGGTGATCAATCAGAGGTTCAGGCTGTGATTCAGCAGTTTCCATTCACCACTGAATCATGTCTGTCACTTCCATATCTCCACGGGTCTTGAAAACCTGGTGTGGGGTGCAGGGTGGTTGGGTGTGATCTACTCCATGGCCAGCACCAAGCTGGGGCTCAAGCAATGTGCTCCTCAGTCATGACAATATTTTGCTGCTGCATCCCCATTTCTCAGCTGGTATTTATCCAGTTGTTTCAGATTCTGGCGGGTGCATATGGAAGGCTTTGGGGTGGTATTGTGAAAACATGAAGGATCCTCCAGTTTGAGGTGGAAGTATTTTAATTTTGTAAAAGTTGTAATATCATGGATGGTAGCTGCTCTTTATTGGTTGTCCAGAATGGAGAATCCCTTTGGGAAGGAAGGGGAGCACTCCCCAGATAAGGTCTCTCTGGTCCCCAGGGTCATGGATGATACTGGATGGGGAGCAGGAACCTAAACACCACCTGAGCAGGACAGGGCTGTTCTGTTCTGCTAGGCATAAGGGTGATGCCCATTCCTCATGGTCCAGGCTTGGGTGATGAAAGGCTTGAGTTGGCCAAGGAGAATCTAGGGGATAGAGTTGAGAAGGATCAGAAGGACAAAGATGAGTTAAAACCCAGAGGCTGCTCTGGGAAGGGGAGATGTGGGACTGGCCCTTGAGCACAGGGAGACTGTTGGGGCTCCTTGAACTGCAGGGGCAGGGTCTGGACTGCACAGGGTCAAAGTCACCAGCAGGAAGAACTGTGACACGCTGGGTTGTTCCCAGGTGGTAACATCTCCATCACCTGATGTCCTTGGGAGCAGGGAGCGAAATGCCTTCAGGAGCTGAGTTAGAGCAAACTGATGCTCTCAAGCTGTGCTGGAAGATGTCAAATGCAGCTGTAGCAGAGAGACATCAGAGCCTGTGGCTGACACTGGTAAATCCCCATGGCCACAAGCCCGATTAGGGTTATTTGCAAGAATAGCCCTGTAGGAATAGCCCTGTGCCACACAGGAGCCACGCACTGCAGGCATAGAGGGCTCCATCTCCCCTCTCCTTCCCCAGCCCCCCCCTCTGCCTCTGCTGCCGACTCAAATCAGCCTTGAAAGGTTAGAGACGGGAGATGAATTTAAAGTGATTACAATCACCTTTTAGACAAACAACTCGATCAAATATTAACGTAATGGAAATGATGAATGACTCAAAGCCGTTTTGCCCTCTGGGCCATGTAAGCACAAGCATTTTGCCTCGGGGCAGTGGGGATTGGAGGGAACCTGGCACACCGAGAGCTTTGGGCTGATAATGGCCAATACTGGCGATTTTGCACTCCGGCATCTGCATCTTCAGTCATTCCCCAAATCCAGGCAGCTTTGCTCTGACGGAGACGCTCAGGAGGATGCAGAAGACATTGGTCTTTGTTGTGCTGCTACAAGGAATCCCTTTCACTCATTATATATTTATAAGTGAGAAACTGCATCCAGCATCCCCAGATTGATGGGACCTTCTCGATGGCTGCTGCATGCCGAGATGAGAGCAGAACTATTTCAGCACTCCTCACCACATTCCATTCTCCTGCTCCAAGGAGGCTTTTGCAGGGAAAATGCCTTCCCTTTGTGTGGGCTTTCATAGGAGCAGGTGTGTTTGGGCTGAGCATCATATTGGTGACCACTCTGGTCCCTTCATCATGCAGGGGCACTCCTGAGGAGGGATCCACTGGAGATGCTCTGCATCAGGGACCATCCATAGCACCCAACTCACTGCATCCTCCTCTGATCTCCTGCCAGGGATGGAGAATCCTCCTCTGAGATCATGCAGCTGGATTTTGAGATGGAGAACTTCACCAGCCAGTCGGTGACACGCCGCATCATGTGGCACATCGACTACCGGGGCCGTAACCCCCCTCCTGACCTGGAGAAGGTGGTGACAGAGCTGACGGTCATCCAGAGGGACATCCGGGCCATTGTGCCCCTGGCCATGGTAAGAGGCCTTGCACTTGCTCCTGCCTTCTGGTTTGATAGCTGGGATGGTTTATTGTCCCTCGAGGATTTTGCAGCGAGAGATGGATGTGGATGTGGTCTACCGTGTCCCACTAACCCATCTGCCCCAGTGACATCTCCTTTGCACCTTTTCTCCCCAGGACACAGAAATCATCAACACAGCCATCCTGACGGGCCGAACAGTGGCCATTCCTGTGAAGGTCATTGCAATTGAGTTGAGTGGTGTTATCGTGGACGTCTCAGCCATGGTGGAGTGCAAATCCAACAATGAAGACATCATCAAGGTGGGTACGGGAGCGATAACTCCCATCTCCCGCCCCAGGAGCACATCCCTGCTGAGCCTCTCTGGTGTTTCAATCTCTCTTTGCCTGTCTGAGGAGAGAAGGACGATGCACTTTGTCACTGTCCCCACTGAGGGCTATTAGATGCTGTGGTGCTGTGCACGCTGGCACCAGGCAGCAGCAATAACTAAGGGTTATCGCACTACTTAGCCCTGATAAGGTAAAATACTGTCGCCTTGAAATGTGAACCACACGTTTTCATCAGTGGCTTCACCTGCGCCTCTGGGTGACATTCATCTCCTGTGTGGGATTTAATGCTGGGCTGAGCTGGGAGGGTCAAGCAAAGCACTGGGGACAATGGGACACAGGAGATCGGGGCTGCGTGGTGTTGGGGCTGCTCCTCTGAGCACAAAACACGTGTAGGCTCCCATGGCGATGATGGCCCACGCATCCCTCAGCTGACTTGGCAGTATCAGCCCTCAAACCCAGCCACGGGTGTCTATTTGTTCATCACCATACCCATTCAACCATATGTATTCTTCTATCATTCTGTGTATCCATCCAGCCGCCCGCCTGCACTGTTCCATCACCATACCCATCCATCCATCCGCCTACCCACCCCTAGACATCGCGCCTTCTCCCTGCCCCGTCGGTGTTGGGATGTGCTCTCTCCATGGGTCCCTGGGAGCCGTTAGCCCTGTGGGAGCTGGTGTCACAACCTGTTTACCCAAGTTCTCCAACAAAACCCTGATCTGTGCGATTTACAGCGCCAGCTCTAATTTATGGAGGCCGGTCCTCTGCAGCGTGATAAAACACTGGAGCAATAATACACTTCAGGATGGACTCCAAGACACTTAAACTGTTTAATGTGCTGCCTTTCGACTCATAAATCTATTTACACGCTGTCCCCAGACCTGGGGGGAGCAGACACATGCACACAAGCAGGGATGAATAATACATAAAGCAGCCCTCCAGCCCCGTGTGCTCTCCTTCCGCTCGCCATCCGCAGCCCCACGCAATTCCTTGCTGAGTTATTTTGTGTTTGTGCTGGTGATGTGTTTCCGAGGGAGCTCTCAGTTTCCTGCTGAGATTGGGCACTATGATTACGGTGTCAGGGCTATAAAGCTGTTACATAAATCAGCTTACATGGTGAGATCCACTGTCTGTTACTGTAAATAATTTAGCAATAAGGAGGGACGAGGAGCGGGAAAAGGCTGCTTCTCTCCATGCTGTGTGTGGTACTGCGGTGATGCTTGCATGGAGGGAGTGCATCTTGGATGTGGAGGACATGGTGGCTGGAGAATGATGATCTTTAGGTGTTCCAACTGAAGTCATTTTGTGATTCTATGACATGGTAGTGAGGGTGCTGCAGCCACCCATGAAGGCTGGTGACAGAGTGTGGGTGTGAAATGCCACCCTCATCTCCTCTGTGGGCACACAGGCATGTGTTCATGGTGAGTCTAGATGAGTTTTGTTGTCTTTTCAACCTTATTGAATCTATGACATGGGCCATCTCCTCATGCACTGCCCACCCAGGTTCACGTGGTGACCTCAGGCACCATGCATATGCTGAGGGATAGGCATGGAGAGATGATGTCTTCCCTTGATCCCATGCTTGAGGCTTGCCAAGGGAGGAGCTCTGCACAGGAGCAGAGCTGTCGGTGCCTTGGCTCTCAGCCCAGGCAGACCTCAGCCTCGCTTCCCAGTGCCTTGCTGCAAATCCGGGAAGTATCTCCCAACAAGTGTACACTTCATTTAAAAGCTAATCTGCAGTCACTCCATCATCAGGACAGGGCTGATGTGCTGCTATTTTTTGTTGTCGTATCTCCCCCCTTCGCCCCCCCCCCCATTCCAACCAACAGAAAAACAAGTGGCCCCCAGAACAAGGTGCTGGGGGGATTTATTAGGTAAGGTAATGCAAGCAGCATCCCATCATATTTATTGTGATAAATGGCTCAATATCCAGAGATGGAGGATTTACCCAAGAGCTCATCTTTATTCAAATGCTGCCCTGCTAGAGCTGAGATTGTCTTTTCAGACAGCTCTGGTACAAGGACAAGGAGCAAACCCTGTGAGCTGAGCTCAGGGAAAGCTGCAGATGTGGAGTGGGAGTCCCCAGCCCAGTGCCTCCTTCCTGCTGGCTGGGAAGGAGAAGGTGGTGTTGGCTCTGCTGCACTGAGCCAAGCAATGCCGTGGTGGCATCCTCTTAGCACCTTAATTGCCTTGGATCGGTTGGTAGTAAGTGGCCCCCACAGGAAGTATTTGTTTTATAGCAAATTTAACTAATGGCATTTGCATAAATGGGAATTAAAAGACAAAGAGGGAGAGAGATGAGGTGAATGCGAGGATTCAGATGGACTCTGGGAAGCTTTATCTGGAGTCAGCAGGAAGTATGTGGATGGAGGTGGGCATGGGGCTGCATTCCTTTTCGTGGCAGGCACTGGTGGGTACCTACAGTGGCTGGCCACTGCTTGCTGCCTGCTCTCCCTAGCCTGTAGGTGGGAGAGATCTGGGGACGGATGTCAGATTACACCCTCCCTGCTTTCCCCTCTCCCCAGGTCTCCAGCAGCTGTGACTACGTCTTTGTCAGCGGGAAGGAATCGCGGGGCTCCATGAGTGCCCGGGTCACCTTCACGTACGAGCACCTCTCTGCCCCGCTGGAGATGACGGTGTGGGTGCCCAAACTGCCGCTGCACATCGAGCTCTCAGACTCACGGCTGAGCCAAGTGAAGGGCTGGAGGGTGCCCATCCTGCCGGACAGGAGGTGGGTGCTGGGGGCACAGTGTTCGGGGTACCCCAAGGCAAGGGAGGCAGTGATAGGCTGGGAGAAATCCACAACAGGACCACAAGATATGGGGCATGAGATGCGCTGAAGAAGAGAAGGTGAAGGTGGCAGAAGTCCAGTGGCTGTGTTCAACTTCTTATTGAGGGGGGTATCAAAAACAATGGAACCTTTGCTGCAGTGAAAACGTGGATCGTGGATGCAAGTTGCATTTTTGGATGTAAAGAGGAGAATTTCACAATGAGAACTGTTGAACACTGGGACCAGTGAGGAACATTCATCCATGCCAACAGTCAAAATTCCTGTGGATAAGGCCAAGAGCTGCCAAGCTCCAAAATTAATGTTGCTTTGAGATCTAGAGACCTTCAGGTATCCCTCCCAACTTGAGATATCTTGTCCTTTCAGCTGATTAGAGGGTGGAGATTTTGGCTAGCCCATTTTCACGTGCTGCTAGAGCCCTCAGAGACCTCATGAACAACAGACAATTTTTGGCCAGGCTCCACCATGCTTTTCCCCTGCTTTGGAACACCTTGCCACCTGTCTCTTGTCTCTGTCCCACAGGTCAGTGCGGGACAGCGAGCACGAGGAGGATGAAGAGGAGCGGAAGCAGAGCCGGGGCTGTGCCCTGCAGTACCAGCACGCCACACTGCAGGTCTTCACCCAGTTCCACACCACAGCGGCAGAGGGCACGGGGCAGGTGGTCACCATGCTGGGACCCGACTGGCTGGTGGAGGTTACCGACCTGGTCAGTGACTTCATGCGCGTGGATGACCCGCGGGTGGCCCACCTGGTGGACAGCTTCACGCTGGCTGGCAGAGAGCCGGGAACCACGCTCTTTAAGGTGCCCCTGGTTTAATTTCCCCTTTCCATCAACATGGCTTGAGGTTGGCGGGTGGGTGGTGACGGTCCCCTCATCCCCTGCAGGTCGTGTCCCCGCTCATGGAGGCGGTGCTGGGTGAGACACTGGTGACGGTGGCGGAGGAGAAGGTCAGCATCACAGACCTGAAGGCCCAGGTGGTCTCCAGCCTCTCACTGTCCCTCCACCCCAGCCCTGGAAATAGCCACACCATCATTGCTCGCACGGCTGCCCAGCAGACCCTCAGCTTCCTCAAGCAGGTGAGGTCTGGGTTTTGGGGGACTCGAAGTGGGATGGAGTTCCATCTAAAAAGTCCTCTTCCCACCTCAAAGTAACCCAGAAATCTTCATGTCAGTGTCCACGTGGACAGAGGTCTGGAGGAAAACTCATAGTTTGTAGCTGTGGTAGCCCTGATTCATGCCTTGGGGGCTGAGATTTGGGGTTTGTGGAAGTCCTGCTTATCCTGTAGAGCTGAGATTTGGGGTGAACCTCATCTGTAGAGGTCCTGCTTGTCTTGTGGCCTCTACCTAGGAGTCTTGGAGCTCTGTTCCCTGAACCTTTCCTCTACACCAAGCCCTGGGGAGCAATGGGGAAGGAGTTGAGCATCAGGACAATCTGATACCAGGCCAGAAAGTGGTCTGCACCTTGTTCCAAACCTTCAACAGACTCTGTGTTTGGGCAACTGTGGGGAAAACTGAGGGAAGAACAGGCAAAAGAGAAAAGCTAGGTGGTGGTTGGGAGGAATAAAACAAATCAATAGGCAGATGGGTAGAGGATAAATTGCATGGGCGAAGGATGCGAAGGAGGAGGGATGGATGGGAAGATGGAGGTGCAGGTGGGACTGGCATTGTGCTGGGCAACCGGTGCCTGTGTTGGTTCTGCAGGAAGCGCTGCTGAGCCTGTGGATTTCCTACAGCGACGGCACCACAGCCCCTCTTTCCCTCTACGACCCCAAGGACTACAACCTGGTGGTGAGCAGCCTGGATGAGAAGGTGGTGACGGTGACCCAGGACCGAGCCTTCCCCTTGGTGGTGGCAGAGAGCGAAGGTGTGGGGGAATTGCTGCGGGCCGAGCTGGTCATCTGCGAGAGCTGCCAGAAAACCAAGCGTAAGAGCGTGCTCTTCACAGCCCTGGCCAGTGTGCGGGTTCATTTTGGCTCCGAGGAGGACCCGACCTATGACTACGACCACGTTCCCAGCAGACCAGGGCTGGAGGCGGGGTCGAGCACCACTCTGCGGGCAGAGGTGGAGAGAAAAGCGGAGCCGAGCGAGGACAGTAGGATGCCCAGTGCGTCTCACCCCACAGAGGACTTCCCCACCATCCCCACTGGCTTTGTCCAAGTGACCCGAGGGCTGACGGACCTGGAGATAGGCATGTACGCCCTTCTGGGCGTCTTCTGTCTGGCCATCTTGGTCTTCCTCATCAACTGCATTGTCTTTGTGTTGAAATACCGGCACAAACGCATCCCACCTGAAGGTCAGACCAACATGGACCACTCCCACCACTGGGTCTTCCTGGGCAATGGGCAGCCCTTGCGGGCTCACAATGACCTCTCCCCACAGCCTGAGAGCCCCGGGAACCCCCTGGAAAATGTGCAGACCTGCTGCCATGCGGACCACCACAGCAGTGGGAGCTCACAGACCAGTGTGCAAAGCCAGGTCCATGGTCGTGGGGATGGTTCCTCGGGGGGTTCCACACGGGATCAGAGTGAGGACCCCCTCAACTCGCCCACTTCCAAACGGAAGCGGGTGAAGTTCACCACCTTCGCCACGTTGCCCACTGATGAGCTGGCTTACAACTCCATCCCCATCGCTGATGAGGAGGACTTGGAGTGGGTCTGCCAGGACATGGGGCTGCAAGACCCCGAAGAGCTTCACAACTACATCCGCAGAATCAAAGAGATCGCTTAACACAGGGGCAGAGGGGATGGGGTGGGAGGGAGGGGGCCGCCACGCCGTGCCACGCCATGCCATGTCACGCCACACCGGCTGCTTCCTGGGGCCTGAGACCCACGTTGGGCTCTCTCGCAGGTTCCCTTTTGCACATCTCACATCCTCCTCACCCCATGTGGAGGCACCTCTGGGGGCTGTTTTTCTTTTCTTGCCCTTTGCCGTCTGCTTGTCCCCAGGGTGGGGGCACCAAACCTGCAGTGAGCGGGATCCACGAGGGATGCAAGCTGGGGGCTGGAGATGGATGGGGATGGATCTTGTGAACGTGCAATGGTGAATGGGATGAATGTGGGTCCTGCGGTGCACAGGTTGGAGGAGGGGAGACATCCCACCAGCCTGCTGCAGGAAGGTGGTGGGTGGGGGTTCCCAAAAGCCATCCACTGTACATGGGGGTTGCACAATTGCTGCACCTGGTTGCACAGTTTTGGAGGTGAGCGCTGGTGTGGGGATTTGCCATCCTATGGCAGTTGGGTTGTGCAGGGAAAAAGTGGGGCAAAACCTGCATCCCCACCTCAAGCTCACCGCCTGCTTCATGGGGTGGTGGCATTAATGTTTGCCATCACAGCATCCCTTGGGGACTGCCTCTGCCCCAGGGCTGCTGTTTCCTGCCCTCCCAGCACCAGGCTGGGAGATGCAGTTGGGTCTTCACATTGCCCACCCAGCTCCCCACCTGGTAGGGATTCCCATGCCCATTTCCCCCAGTCCCAGCCCACTGGGGACTCCCACAGCCAGGCTCAGCCTCCGTGGTGCCTTCTGACTGCCATAATCTCCCTGGCCACCCCGCTCCCAGCCCCGAAGTCCCTCCTCCATTGTAGAGCATCCTCAGACAGGCTGACTCCAAGGGGACCACCTGGGTACCAGCGGTTGGGGTCCTACATGTGGGCACCCAGCATTGCCCAGCGGAGGGGGAGGCAGCAGCTGGCAGCGGATTATTTCTGGATCGGAAGTTACCCACCACTGTGTCTATTTTATTTTTTTTTTTTCTTAAATAAAAGACTAGAAAAATTAAAAAAAAAAAAAAAAAAGAAAAAAAAAGCAAAAAGCAACCAACACAACCACAAAGGAAATGAAAAGCCAAAACCAAAATGCGTCATCCTGGGGGGCATCGCTTGGCTTTGACACCCATCGGAATAGTAAGTGCTTTGGGGTCAAAGCTGTGGATTTGGGGCCACCCCTCAAAAATCCTCCCCACCTCAAAAGCCCCATCAAGGAAGTGATGACACAGCCAGGCCCCATGCCTCAGTTTCCCTGGAGCGCTGTGCAGTGTCTTGAAAAGCTCTTTAAGGAGTTTATCACTCTGGGACTGTGGAAATTTCTCCCCTGAGCAGCCTTAAAGCTTTCCTGATAGCTCTACGCTGGTTTTAAATATACATATCCTTCTATAGAGAGATATATGAGGAAATTAAGATGTGCTCAAAGACCAGGTGGGTGCTGCGTTCCTGTTTTACCGTGCCCCGTTATCAGAGGGACCCAGGTCTGGCTGCATGATAGCGATTCCAAGCAGTAAAATTAATACAGCCAAATTCTTGCCTGGAGCTGCCGAGCCTCCTCGTCAAATTAACATACATGAATATTTGTTTAAAATTAAAAAAAAAAAAAAAAAAAAAAAGGAAAAAAGGGAGAGGGGAGAAGTGAGAAAACTGTTTAATAACATGCACCCAATTCCTGCATTGTGCGGTGGAGATGGGCAGAGAAGAACAGAAGAGCTCTGCCCCACCTCCTCCTCCCTCTGGAGTGTTCTGCTGCCCTGGTGGGGATGGTGACAGCCCTGCTCAGGGCATCTTTTCAATGAAGAGAGCAAAATCTAGATAAGTAAAGCTATTTACTGAGACATAAATATGTATGTATTTATACATTATAAATACATATGTATATATACATGCATATACAATGTGTGACTATCTTTATAGATATACACACATACATAACTATGCATGCGTGCATTCCCTTAGTGGATTGATGCCAAGGGCTTTACTTAGGTGCAGTGGTGCAGGAATGCACATACATGAGTGCACACCCCTGTGAACACACCAGTCCTCCAGAGTTCCCTTTGGGCAATGGGAGCATAAGGGGAGCAGCTCACCACAAAGGTGTTTGGGTCCTGCAGGAAACATGCCAGGGAGGCACCAGTTGAAATCCTGAGGTCAAAAAACCCAGGAAAACTGTGCTTTGGTGTGAGTGTGATGATAGGGTTGCAAGGCACCCAGTGCTCAGCCAGTCCCAAAGCAGCACTTTTCCTGCTTACTGCTTCAGCACCCGTAAATACAGCAACTGAACGGGCCTCCGATGGCCAAATCTCATCGAAGAAGAAAAGAAAATAGGGGAAAATAATTAAACAGACGCCTCTCTCTCAGCTCCCCTCCCGCTCTGCCCTCTGTTTATTCTCTTGCTTTTTGGTGTTCCGCTATCTGCTCCCAGCAGGCAGGCACGCATTTGCATTTTAATGCGGAGCAGAGTGGCTGCATGCAGCTCCGGGGAGGCAGAGCCAGACCCCCACCCCTGCAGCCCCCCCACCTTCCCGGGAGCCAAATATCCCCTTTAAATTATGTGCTATGAAAATAATTAAACCACTTAACGCACCCAGCCCCTAAGCCATTAAGAGAGGAGGAAAACGGGAATTTTCCCTGCTTCTCTGCATGGAGCTCAGACTCTGCAACACCTGGGGGTCCCACCACTCTCCTCCTCCTCCAGCTGTCTGCTCTCCTTCTACACCTGTTGACACTATGTAGGTTTGCACAGCACCTGGGATGATGACTTTGGTAATTGCATGGTTCTTTCTGGGGTCTCTTCACTCCATTTTTGCCTGGCTCAGCAAGGAATGGGAAAACCCCTAAGGTCTCAATATTTTAGGGCGCCTGCTCTGCGCTGGGATGATTTTCCCCTACTACCAGCCCTGGGTTTTAGCCAAGCGAAAGCCAGAAATGCCTGCAGGGCAGAGCTCCTGGTCAAGGGCCTTGCTATGGAATTTCCATGTGTTTTCCAGGGATTTCCTGACCCTTTCCAGGATTTTGCTGTCACTTCTCATCAATTCCAGGATCTCCAGCTGTCTTCCAAACAATTGGCTGCAGACACTGGATAACAGCATAAGCAAATTGCTAGATGGTTTGTGCTGGGAAACACTGAGGCATCTGGGCCATGGGAAACATCATTAATAACTGGAAAAGGAAGTTTGGATCCAGGGAGCCCTGTGATCCTGCAGATCTGTGCCCAGCACCCAGCACTGCATTTCCAGCCCCAGCAGCCTCTGGAGTCTCAGTCTTCACATCCTTTCCAACAGCATCACCGAAAGAAGGCCAAATTTTGTTAGTTCATGGATTTAAAGGTCACAAAAGACCATCTTATCTGACCCCGCGTGATGCGGAGCGGCAAATGTCACCCAATTATCCATCTGCTGTGCCTCCGTGTCAAGACCAATAATGCATTTCTCTTGGCTGTGATGAAAGACAAGATGCAAGAGATTGCTCATGGTTTTGTTCACCAGTTTACCCCCACAGACACCTATGGAAGATTTTGTTTCTGATGGTTTCTGCACTTCTGGGGCCAAAGCCTGAAGCATCTGGGCCTAGATTGGATGAAATTATCTTAGAGGTTGACTTTGTGATTCTATGACAGTCAGTGAGTCCTTTGGTGTCAGCCCAAAGAAGACAGAGCCCCTGTGGCCACACAGGAAAAATCACAGCTCCTCATTCCTCAATTCCTCATTCCTCCATCAGGTGCTTTATGGCTTTTTTGATTGTCAGCCTTTGTTGGGAGCCCAAAGGAAGAACTGTTCCATCAGATGGACGACTTCTGGGTGGGAGAAAGCAGCTCAGCCAAGAAGGCTTCAATGGATGCAATGAGAATGAGAACAAGGGCATTGCCACAGATCTTGCACAAAGAGGTCAAGATGCTGAACCTCAGTCCCTCAAAGCTCCCTGTGAAAAGGCTTCATCCACCTGTGCCCCAGTTCACTCCAACAATCTTGCCATCCTGTGCTGTGATACTTCGCTCTCTCTGCCCTTATGAAGATCCCCATTTGGGCTCCCCATCCTATAGGAGCCCCATGGAGAGTAACTGGAGGCAGCATAGATCACAGTAACAGCTGCAAATCCAATTACCTGAGGGTTAAGCACTCGGCTGATGAAAACCAGGGGTTAAAAGTGCTGAGCCAGCGAAAGCTCAGCGCCGATCGATGCCATGTAAATAATATCACTTGTTCCTGGGAGCCCATTCCTTTCTGTTTCAGCGGTGAAATCCACTTAGCCCAGCAGGACCTCACTCGATTTCTGGCTTATATGGGTTCAAAAACCATTTAAACACAGAGGCTGTGCAATGGGGAATCAGCACGTTCCTGTAAAATCCCCACCCCAGGGACCTGCAGAATGCTGCTACTTGACTACATTCAGCACTGCAAACATTGCTGGGTCAATAAATAGGGGGTGAATGGCTGCTGGAAAATCCTTCAGCAGTGCAGGGATGACTCCTGACCGCTCTCAGCTGACCCCCAGCTGTGCTGTGTCAGTGGCATTCTGATGAGTGGCATTCTGATCCCAAATGATGAGTGCTTTCAGATGGGGAGAGGGATGCACGAAGGCAGTTCAGGGTATAGAGCTGAATGATGGCCAGGGTGGAGAGGAGCTGGGGATCAGGGAACTGGGGCTACTCCATCTAATCCCTGATCCCTCTCCATAAGGAGGATGTGCTCACCCCGAATCACCCCAATTCACTCCCAGTTCACCCAGTCACTCATGGCTGAAACACTGGGGCGCTCTGGACAGAAAGAAACACAATCAGAAATGAAACTGTTTCCTTTTGACATTTTTTTCAGCTTACAGTGGGCCTCTGATCTTTCTCCACCTCGATATTGAGGTGACCTTCTGATCTTTCTCCACCCTTGACATGTCCTTTGATGGCATTTATTTGGGTTTTGCCTTAAAAAGCTGTGAATCAGCCCCAACCCTTTTGATTTTGACTGAAAGGGAGCAGGAACACAGATA